CTGGGCCTCCCAGGAAGCCCACGAAAGTGGCGACAGCTTCGCAGATCGCTGCACCGAAGGGGACGGCGAGGTCTCGCAATGATCTGCGTAAGACGCACCTTCGTTGAGCCTCCGAGGGGCCCACGAAAATGGCGACAGCTTCGCAGATCGGAGCCCCCCAGGGCATGTCGAGGTCTCGTGGTGATCTGCGTAAGACGTACCTCTGCTGGGCCTCCCAGGGGCCCACGGAAGTGGCGACAGTTTCGCAGATCGCTGCTCCCCAGGGGACGGCGAGGTCTCGTGATAACCTGCGTAAGATGTACCTCCGAGGGGCCCACGAAAGTGGCGACAGTTTCGCAGATCACAGGCCCCCAGGGGACGGCGAGGTCACGTGGTGATCTGCGTAAGACGCACCTCCGCTGGGCCTCCCGGAAGCCCACGAAAGTGGCGACAGCTTCGCAGATCGCAGCCCCCCAGGGGACGGCGAGGTCTCGTGGTAATCAGCGTAAGACGTACTTCTGCTGGGCCTCCCAGGGGCCCACGGCATCTCCTCTGCGCAAGTGGGGACACCCGAGCTAGCCGCGGGCACGAAGCAGGACGCAGGCGGGAGGAGACTGGGAGAGGAGGGAGAAGGGAGGCGAAAGGATGAGGAGTGCGAGGAGAGGGCGAGAAGGAGAAGGAGAAGGACGGGGCAGTCAGTGCTCTATTCAAAACAAATACCCAGCCAAGGAAGGGTTGAGAAAAACCCTGCGACGTACCAAACCCATCTACAACCATTGGGAAAACAGTTGGAAGGGGGAGATGCAAAAGGAAGACGAAAAGTAAAGAATTTGACTTCGCGCTGTGGCCCCGAGAGTGGCCACATATGCGCAGTGGCCAGCCCCCGAGAAGAGGGCGAGGTCCCGCTAGCGTCTGCGCGGGACACCACTCCGCTGGACCCCGCAGCAGCCCCACGACTACGGTGACACTTTCACAGCTCGCAGCCCCCAGGGGCGAGCGAGGTCCCACCTGATCTGCGCGGAGCACCATTCCGCTGAGCCTCCCTGGAGCCCACGATAGTGACGACAGTCGCGCAGTGGCCAACCCCCGATGGGAGGACGAGGTCCCACCTGGATCTGCGTGGGACACCACTCCGCCGAGCCTCTCAGGAGCCCACGACAATGGCGACGGTTGCGCAGTGGCCAACCCCGCAGCGACTGGCGAAGTCCCGCCCGGATTTGCGCCTGTGGGCCACGATCTGCGTAAGAGGCGCGCCAAAATGGGAGCGGAGGTGCTCTGCGGACGCACGCAACGGCCCTATGGGGCGCGATCCGTGCGAAGGGTGTGCCGACATGGGCGCGGCGACGGGTTGCCGATGCATCCAGGGGGCCATAGAGGGGGATCTCCCCATGGGCCACGATCCGCGTGCGTGGTTTGCTGAATTTGGTGGTAATACGACGTGGGAGAGGGAGGAAGAGGAGGAGGAGGAGGAGGGAGCGGGAGGCAGGAGCTGTGAGGAGACACGCAGCGCGGCGGAGTAAAAACGACGACCCAACACTCAGCAATGTTGGGAGATTCAATTGGCCATCCGCAACATGCCAGCCCCAGACGGTATAAGCGCCGATACACATGACACAATCAAAAGATGGAACCGCCATATGGTACAACCAGAATGCACGCGAATCAGAAAAGCGAAAACAGTCAGAAACGACAAGTGTTACTGCCAGACGGCCTGCGGGGGGAAATAGAGACATCGAGAAACTAGCATGACTTGCCCTTGGCTCTTCAGCGGGGAACTGCTTTCTCTCTCTCTCTCTCTCTCTCCGAAGCTCGCTGGTCAAAGCGATTCAGATCCGAGGCAAGAAGGGCGGGTGCCTCGACTCGCCACTTTCTGAAGCCACACCCTGGCGAAGAGAAAAAAAGGAGAACAGGGAGGTCGAGCCAGGCGACTCGGAAGGGAAGCCAGGATGACTTCAGAGCAACACCAGTGGGGTCCGATGAGACCGACACCCCAAAACCCCGCTAAGTCATTACTGCGCACGCGCCCCCATGATTGACCCTTCGTTTTTCAGCGTGGAACTGTTATCTCTACTAAGCTCGCTAGTCAAAGCGACTCGGATCCGAGGCAAGAGGGGTGGGCGCCTCGACTCGCCACTCCCTGAAGCCACACCCAAATCATATTTCCAACACAGAAGCCGTGCTCACACCGCAAGGTAGCGCGCCCGCAGGGCGCTTCAAACAGTGTAAACGACAGTATCGTGGAAACAGGCGGGGATTAGTTCCGACGGGCGAAGGCGGGAGGCATGTTTCCTGCGGCCGTTTCGGGCCCTTACGCCAGGGCACTGTAGCCCTAAGCAGGTCACGTCGGCGGGCAAAACGCTGCTGACAGACGTAGCGACGCAATCCCTAGAGACCCACTGGTATCTACACATGTGAGAGAGTAGGGGCACGGAAAAGAGCACGGGAAATCGGGCAGCAACATGCTCACTCACGGATTTGCAACAGCTGACCGCCTTTGGGAGACCGAGACACTCTACATCTGA